GACTCAGCAAGTTAACACGCGCTCCACTGGGGTCTGCGTATAACGCGCACTACGGGGGGGGGGCTCTTCAGTCTTCATAGCCTCCCCCCTCCTACCTCCGAAACTAATGGGCCTTTCGTCAAAATTCAAGCGGCGTCTGATAGCCCCGGAAATACTGCCGCGTTAAGCCTAATTTCATTGACCTCGACGTCACGTCACAGGTCAGGTCACGGCAAAAATTGTTAATGTTTAGCTTGTTCACATTTTGGGCTCTGGCCACCGGCTTACAAGTCAGATCAGGCTCATGTTTGGTTTACACACTCGTGAACAGATGCTTTAGATACCCTGAGGGTACCAAACTTGTACTTTGATTTTCAGGTCAGGCTTTGGTCATCACAGGTGGCAGGAATCTTATATCATGCATCGGTCACGTGACACATGTTTTATGGTCTATTTAGGCCATAGATTTCGAATTCGATGTCGTTTTTGTCATTCGAGGTCGTCATTGTGAGTTGAATTTAGCTTAGGTCAGGCCACTTTCAGGTCAAAAAGGTCCAATTTTTACAGTTAAAATTGTTCAACAATAAAGGTGTCTATCGGATACAGTTTCAGCTGAGGAACACGACGGTGCTATTTATAATGGTGTACGATGTCAAATGCGTACTGAGAAAAAAGAACTGAAAAAAAATTATCATTGTGAATTTTTTGCTATAATACGTACCTATAACTTGATCATTTTTGAAGATAATGTAAAAATCAAGTATTTCTTTATTGTCATGACCTTTCCTCCTTTTCAAAAATATGCTGAGCCAAAATTATATTGTTTTAGAATTTTCAAATATATCGGCAAAAAAAGATGCAAAAGTGTTCTTTTGGATATTTCACTGATGAAGGCCTGTGGCCGATATATTTGAAAACGCTAAAACAATATAATTTTGGCTCAGCATATTTTTGAAAAGGAGGAAAGGTCATGACAATAAAGAAATACCTACTTGATTTTTACATTAATAATGATCCTCCAACAAGCACTAAAACATATTTTTGAAGATATATCGCTTAACCCGCGCCCCACTGGGGGGGGGGCTATTTATAGCCCCCCCCTCCCGTTTTTCTGCAATAACTTCCAAACCGCTTGACGTATCGACGCCAAACTTTCAGTACCTTCGGCTGCATCAATTTGACACCTTGTGTCAAAATTTTAACTTCGTACCTACATTAGGTCGGCCGGAAATGACGTCAGAGTGACGTCATGTTCGGCCGATTTCGACGCAAAACATTGAAACACGGCAATCGCTCCAAAGAGCTCAGTTTTTAAGCTAGATCCAATTTCTTTGCATGAGAGGACTCAGAATAGACTGCGCTATCAAACTGCTATCTCGGATTTTCAAAATTTTGAAAATTTCGAAAATTTAACATAATAAAATTCAAAATTTATATTTTTACATTTTTTTCAAAAAGTTTTTGACTTTTCGAAAAAACCGGAATATATGTGATAGAACGCATTATTATGACTAACTCTAGCAAGTTTTAGCTAAATATCTTCAAAAATGGCCAAGTTATACGAATTATTGCAAAAAATTAACAATTATTAATTTTTCAAATCAATTTTTCAGCACGAATTTGACATCGTACGCCAATATAAATAGCACCATCGTGTTCCTGAGCTCAAACTGCATCCAATAGACACCTTTTTTGTTGAAAAAAAATTAACTTCAAAATTTGACCTTTTTTGACCTAAAAGTGACCTGACCTAAGCTAAATTTGACTCAAAATGACCTCGAATGACACAGACGACATCAAATTCGAAATGTTTGGCCTAAATGGACCATAAAACATGTGTCACGGGACCGACGGATGATATAATATTTTCGTGACCTGTGATGACCTGACCTTGACCTGAAAATCAAAGTACAAGTTTGGTACCCTTAGAGTATCTAGAGCATCTGTTCACGAGTGTGTGAACCAAAACTGAGCCTGATCTGACTTGTAAGACGGCGGCCAGAGCCCAAAACGTGACGAAGCCAAAATGCTAATAATTTTTACTTTGACCTGACCTGTGACGTCATCGGTGACCTCGAGGTCAATGAAATTAGGTTTCGCTCGACAGTTTTTCCGGGGCTATCAGACGCCGTTTGAATTTTGACGATCGGCCCAGTAGTTTCGGAGTTAGGAGGGGGGGCTATGAATAGCCCCCCCCCCCAGTAGGGCGTGTTATACGCAGACCCCAGTGGGGCGCGGGTTAAATTTGCTAGAGTAAGTCATAAGCATTTGTTCCATCACATGCTAACCGTTTTTCGAAAATTAATTTTCTTAACCCTCGCCGGACCTATTGGTTTTCTACATACGCGCCGGCCGAGGGGGGGGCGGGTACGACCCCCCCCCCCATCGCTGTTTCGTCCCTGGTGGAGCTAGCGCGTTGCGGAAAAAACGAGCGTGTGCGCCGTTACAAGACGCAGAGATTGGTACCCGATTTTAAGGTCCTAGGTCAACCGGTGACCTCTGAGGTCAGGTCAAGTGCCCCAGGGTACGGTTCAGTTTTTGGTGAATAACTTCGCAAAAAACGGCCGCAGAGCCGCGATTTTGGCAGCATCGTGTTCGCCTCGCTCAGGCGCGTCGAATGATATACTGTTTGTTCGGGTCAGGTCAACTTGGGGTGTTGACCTCAGGTCAAGGTCAGGTCAGCACCCCCAGGTCACGAAGTTGGTCGAAAGAGGTCATGTCGCATATCATTCGATTCGGCAGGTCTTTCTGAGTCCATTGGTGGATTTCCCGACTCGCTAGCTCAATTTGATCGGGAGTTATTGACGAAAAACTAATATGACCTTGATGACGTCATAAATGACGTCACGGAAGGTCAACATTGCAAAAGTGACGCATCTAACCTTGCAAGGAGTGCATCAAATCACGATTCTGTGTGCTTAAGATAGTTGGAGATCGTTCCCGGCGCCAGAATAGCAGTTTTTATTTTTCCCCATTGACTTATAATGGTGAGGTCACGAAAATGACCTGACCTCATATGACCTTTAGCAAAAATCCGAGATATACAAGTTGTGAGACTCATAATGGATACTAGATCCTGAAAGTTTCATTTCCCTGTGACATCTCCTCTGGCAGTGAGGGCGTTGCGAAGTTGCGACATCTGAAGGCCGTGCAGAGGTTCACTTATGACGTCATAGGTCAGTGACCTGACCTGACCCAAAAATGCGGTTGGTGTCAAAAGATGCGGCTTGGATCAAAGGCCAGGTATGCCAAGTTTCAGCTCTCTATCGCCAGTATGTTCGGAGCTATCGCGAAAAAACCCTATGGGGGGCGGCACCCGTCCCCCCTCGGCCGGCGAGGGTTAAGATAAAAATGTACCTAAGTTTTAAATATTAATATTGATAATTTCCAAAATTTTCACAATTTTGAAAACTCGAGCTAACAGTATGATAGCGCAGTCTATTCTGAGTCCTCTCATGCAAAGAAATTGAATCTAGCTTAAAAACTGAGCTCTTGGGAGCGATTGCCATGGTTCAATGTTTTGCGTCGAAATCGCTGAACAAGACGTCACTCTGACGTCATTTCCGGCCGACCTGTGGTAGCTACGAAATTCATATTTTAGAAGGTACTGAAAGTTTGGCGTCGATACGTCAAGCAGTTTGGATGTTATTGCAGAAAAACGGGAGGGGGGCTATGTGTAGCCCCCCCCCCCCAGTGGGGCGCGGGTTAACCATCGCCAGCCCTATCGGTTTTCAACATACGCCACAGCCGAGGGGATGGGTGGGGCGTACGAGTGAATACGAGTATCAATATTACTAATATCGAGTACGATACCACTTCCCCCTTCGCCATTCCGCCCCTAATTGAGCTAGAGCCTTGCGCAAAAAAAAGCGAGTGCGCCGTTACAAGACGCTGCGACTGGCGACTGGCACCCGATATAAGGCCTCATATCAACTGTGACCTTTGAGGTCAGGTTAAGTGCTCTGAGGCACATGTACGGTTTTCGGTAAATAACGTCGCCAAAAACTCTCACAGAACCGCAATTTTGGCACTATCGTGTTTCTTCAAGTTCATGCGCTTCAGATGACATAATTTTTGTTTTAGTGAGGTCACTTTAAGATGTCAACCTCAGGTCAAGGTCAGGTCAGAACTGGTCATGTCATGAAGCTGGTCGAAGGACGTCATATTGCATATAATTCAATTTGGCATGTCTTCCCGAGTTCATTCGGTGCCTTCCCAGCCAGCAATTTGGTCTGGCTCAAGTCCGTTTTGCCACGCCAACTCCGACCTGCCAGATTAGGGTCGGTGTAAATGGAAGGCCGTCTGAACAGGGATTTGGGCGGGTATGGCTCTATTCCGACTACCCAGTCTCTGCCGTAGAGTTGGCATGGTTTTGGAACGCCAAGTCCGAATCAAGTCCGTCTGCCCGCCACGGCTTGTTACGGCCAAGTCCGCCGGCTGTCTCGTAGCTGCTCTGGCTTACTGCGGCTGGAGCACGGTTGAGGTACGGCACAGCTGATGCCGCTTACGTCTGGCTGTGGTGCGGGTTAGCTCCGGTATCGTGTGTCAGCTCCAGTACAGCCCCAGATTTTGCCCGTACCTCGGCCGGAGTAAGATGTCGGAGCTAGCCAGAGTCAAACCAGAAACGGCCCACACTTATTTTGCTGGCTGGGTTCCTGACTCGCTAATTGCTCAATGTGACCGAGTTATGGACGAAAGCTCTTACGACCTTAGTGACGTCATAAATTACGTCACGCAAGGTTAACGATGCATAAATGAAACATAAGACCTGGCAAGGAGTGCATAAAATACAGTTGGTGTCAAAAGATCTGGCTTGAGCTTCAAGTGTCAGGTGTGTCAAATTTCATCTCTTTCGAAAGCGTGCTTTGAGCTATCGCGAAAAACAAGGACATGGGCAGTGGGCACCTCTTCGGCCAGCGAGGTATAAGTGGATGACTACATATTAGCGGCCCTAGATGTCAGATAAGCATCGTGTCACCCATTGTAGTTGCCGTCAGGGGAGATGTTTATAACAAGCAAAATGTATGACAGATGTATATTTTCACGTTCGCGACCACACACATCATGACAATAGTGTTTAACCCGCGCCCCACTGGGGGGGGGGGGGCTATTTATAGCCCCCCCTCCCGTTTTTCTGCAATAACTTCCAAACCGCTTGACGGATCGACGCCAAACTTACAGTACCTTTGGCTGCATCAATTTGACACCTTGTGTCAAAATTTGAACTTCGTAGCTGCCATAGGTCGGCCGGAAATGACGTCAGAGTGACGTCATGTTCGGCCGATTTCGACGCAAAACATTGAACCACGGCAATCGCTCCCAAGAGCTCAGTTTTTAAGCTAGATCCAATTTCTTTGCATGAAAGGACTCAGAATTGACCGCGCTATCAAACTGCTATCTCGAATTTTCAAAATTTTGAAAATTTCGAAAATTTGATATAATAATATTAAAAATATGTATTTTTATATTTTTTTCAAAAAGTTTTTGACTTTTCGAAAAAACCAGAATATATGTGACAGAACGCTTGATTATGACTAACTCTAGCAAGTTTTAGCTAAATATCTTCAAAAATGGCCAAGTTATACGCATTATTGCAAAAAATTCACAATTATTAATTTTTCAAATCAATTTTTCAGTACGTATTTGACATCGTACACCAATATAAATGGCACCATCGTGTTCCTGAGCTCAAACTGCATCCAATAGACACCTTTTTTGTTGAAAAATTTTAACCTCAAAATTTGACCTTTTTTGACCTGAAAGTGACCTGACCTAAGCTAAATTCGACTCAAAATGACCTCGAATGACACAGACGACATCAAATTCGAAATCTATGGCCTAAATGGACCATAAAACATGTGTCACGTGACCGACGCATGATAAAATATTTTCGTGACCTATGATGACCTGACCTTGACCTGAAAATCAAAGTAAAAGCTTTGTACCCTCAGGGTATCTAGAGCATCTGTTTAAGAGTGTGTGTACCAAAAATGAGCCTGATCTGACTTGTAAGACGGCGGCCAGAGCCCAAAATGTGAACAAGCTAAAATACTAATAATTTTTACTTTGACCTGACCTGTGACGTCATCGGTGACCTCGAGGTCAATGAAATTAGGTTTCGCGCGACAGTTTTTCCGGGGCTATCAGACGCCGTTTGAATTTTGACGATCGGCCCAGTAGTTTCGGAGTTAGGAGGGGGGGCTATGAATAGCCCCCCCCCCCCCAGTAGGGCGTGTTATACACAGACCCCAGTGGGGCGCGGGTTAAATATGATCTAATTTAGACGAAAAATAAACAGGAATTTCGAAAGACATAGACCTAGTGTCAGTGATAGCGTCCAAGCGTCAGGGTCAAGTTTGGAGCGCATGTAGCGTGAATGAACGCAAGAAAGCTTTACCTCGAAAATACCATATGGACTATATTGGTCAAACAAATATGCGATAAACTTACTTCTCAGGGCTTACTAACATACAATCAACAGGACTATCTCTATACACAGGGATGCTCAACGACCAACAACACACAGACTAGTCTAGCACACACACAGAAAAGAACTGTTATAACATCGAACATTTTCGGCAGCTATACGCAACACCTGTGTAAGATGTCTGTTGCTCTCGCCTTTGCTCATCTGAGGGATGAGCTGCTGGCTGCAGCTTTCTACAGTGTTATACATGACAAATTACAATCTTCCTTGCACTCGTACGTAACATGCCATTCACAGCCGAATCAAAATAAATAAACGGCGATCCCGTTAACGACACATATCTACACAGAACTACCTGTCACACTTGGCAGCATTCGATGGATCTCGCAGTTATTTCTGAGTGGCCAATAGGGGGATATATACTGTATAGGCTAATAGTCAACAATATGTAGGCCATGGTGTGTGCCTATATTGATCTATTTAGGCCTTCTATTGAGGTGCTACTACGACGTGTTCCTTTGATTACAGAAAATAGTCGGCAGTGTCTGCCCCCTTACGGTATAACCTATGTAGATGCAATATAATCCGTTAACACAAACTATACTTGGATATCTTTCACGCCCTCTTACCATGCCATTGGCTTTATGTATCGCACATAGCACACACACACACGACATCAATCTAAAAAATAAATCTCAGTTCATTGGCTGCCCTCGAAAAAAGAACGATACACCATTATATCATTAACATGACACATCGATAAATGTAGGTATCAGTAGCTGTGGGGTGGCGGGGTGAGGTCCTTCCAAGCTCAGTTTACCGCCAGTCTCAGGCTGCATCGCCACCAGTGTTCGCCTGGCCCCCGGCTATGTGCTGCAGAGGCCTGCGGCTCTCGGCAGTCGGGCTCGGCGCCTCCCCGTTGATTGATTCCCCGATGCGTTGACCGTTCACTGCCAATGGTAAGGCGCACATGAATGGCTTTCGGTGTGCAATAGAACATGGTGCCATAGTATATAGCAATACGATGGGAGGAGGAAAAAAATACGAGAGGAGGGATTTATCTATGCCTAAGAGCAAGTTATTTATTTATTTGTATCGTATAGCGCCTTGAACTCATCGCATTATAACTTCCCCACGGCCTGTAGGCCTGTAGGCCAGTTCTGTAGGCCGTTCTAATCCTTACCCCGCCGCAGAGCTCTTGTGACCAGGTTGCCAGCTCCGCCGGCCTTCTTGGGCGTCTGGTTGGTGTCGTTACTGGTGCCGTTGGTGCCGTTGGTGCCGTTTGGTCGGGGAGACACGGCCGGGGCGGCTACTGACGTCTCCACTGTGTGTCCACCGTGCGCCCTCGAGGTATGTGCCGCCGAGGTAGTCGTCAGGTCGTGCTCCGTGAGACCCATACGGTTCTGGAGCAGAGTCGAACGGTCAGCGTGACACGACACAGAAACCGTAAATTTGACCAGTCAGCAAAGCTAGATTTTGCAGACAGTAGCTACTAGCTAGATAGTCGGCTAATTGCTTGCGACAATATATGACATAAGCACCAAGGAAGAATATCATTACATGTAGCACTTTACAAAAATATATGTAGTTTTGAATTGAACACAAAACACCACTAGTCAGCTGAGGAAATTTCACTTGAGCCCCCTTCCTTACCGTTGTCTTCCACACGAAACGTTGCGCTTCTGTTCGGTTCTTGTCATTCAGCCAGACGTGGAAAAGGAAGATAAAGAACCCTTGCAGGGAGTTCAAAATTGTGAATATGACAGAGAAAGCCAGCAGCCCTGGAAGAAAAATAATCCGTTAACAACCGTTCAAAAATACTGTTGTTCGAAAACAAAAATGAGCAGATCATCCCACCAAAATGTGTTAAAAAGAAAGAGATGTGCTAAAAGAGCAGCCTGCATAATGCATATACTGTTTCTTGCATTGAGGCGAGGTCTTTTAGGCGCTCCCAAAGAGGCAGGACTAAGCAGTGCACTGACCGTTGGTGAAGTACAGGAATCCGAACAGCCAGGTGGTGCCCAGGATGGCGACCAGAGAGGCCGAGCCACGGATCCAGGTGGAGGCCTGCGGCGGGGCCTTGGTGCTGCGACCCTTGGGGGCGCGTGCCGTCACTCGCAGAGCCATTACCAGAGCGCATATGTTCACCTGGGAACACACATAGTGTGAGGAGAGACTACCGAAGCGTGTGGCTCATGCACTAACATTATTGTTTACTTTGTTTTTCTATTCTTATGTATTGTCCGAGGAGTGGCTTGAAATGATAAATACGTACCTACATTCAAAATTGTGGCCATGTAGAACATAAGTGAAAAAAACACATGTGAACATGTAAAAATGGCATGTTTGCTAAACATTGAAATAGGCCATTGATGTGAACATGGCCGCACCTAAAATCTTGGGAGAGCAGTGAGACAGCCAGTTTCACACTTACCAAAACGACGAAGAGGAGAGGACCGGCAAATGCCCAGATGAGTCCATTATCTGTGCTCAGCCAGCATCTGCAAAATGAGAGGCGCGCTGCGATCAATGACTCTTTGCAAGTGAATACACGAAATGATTCTGTCGGAGTGACTCACGAGTCACGGTATATGGATAATTGAAGCAAATTTTCACAGCTATTCAATTATAGCAATTTAATTAGAACACACAAATAAGCCTTGATGTCGACTTACGCTGTTTCAGAGCCGTAGCCTTCTCCTTTGGTGACTGACACCGATATGGTTACAATGAGTGCCGGAATGCCATAGCCGCATGCATAAAAGTAGCGCATGTGCGACTTTCTCGAAGCAAATACCTGTGGGAGAAGAACACAGAGAAAAACGTTACATTTGTTTACCGGGATTTACATAACTAACACTTAAAAACCAATCCATTGTTAGGAATTTGCCTATCTCAATTACATATCACACCATGTTTACGCATTCGGTACGCACTGCTTTAAGAAACCTATACGATGGGTTGGCATTTCAATGACGGTGAGTTGGTTAGTTATAGGTAGTAGCCACTTACTTTGTAAACCATCAGATAAATCTGAACTCCTTCAATGCACATCCAGGCGAACGCAGCCAGGAAAAAGAAATGCAGCAGACCGGCAACGATAGCACAGCCCGTCGGGTTACCGTGGGGCTGCAAACCTACGAAACGGAGAAAAATTGTCAGAAATATCACGTCACATAAACTCGATCACGAAAAGTGCACGATTATTTGTCATCAACTTATCCGGCAACCGAGCAGAGACTTTGTATGAAAAGCGAATGCAAGAAAATGCATAAAGACGCAATGGCTGACAGAAAACTTTTGGTGTGAATCTGTAAACGTTACTTACAAGGTGAATAACGACCATCATCCAATGGACATGCCACTCGTTTTACGCCTGCCTGCCCTCCAAATCCCTTGATAACCTACCGGCGAGGAGTATAAACTCGGCGGTGAAGAGACAGAAGCAGAGGTTGCGGTGGACCGAGGTCCGCTCGCTCCTCAGTGTCGGGATGACGGTGAAGACCAGCAGACAGATGGCCAGGCTGATGAGGCTGATGACGCAGCCGATGGTGGTGAGCCAGCTGAGCGCCAGGTCCAGAGCCTGCCGGACAATCGTTCAGAGCGTCAACGACTGGCGGAATTGGATGAAAGGTTCAGGAGGCCGACTGCAGGACGAGCAACAGTGAGTAGACTGACGGACAGACCGACAAAAGGGCCGCCGAAAGCATCATGACCTTACCTTCAAAATCCCACATTCATTACATTTATACGACAGAAAGATCAACGTCGCCAGACTGGCCGAAGAACCGACAGGGGGTCGATGGACCGATCGACTAACATACCGACTTGAGGACTGGCGGACAAGCCAACTGGTAACCAAGAATCTGGAAATGTGCGTAGATGAGTGGTGGACAAGTCGAGTCACAGGGTCTGCGAGTAACGCACGGACTGGCTAGAAAATCAGAAACAACGTTTGAAAAGCCATTTGTTCAGGACTTTTGAAGGACGTTAACTCACCGAGCCCTCCTCAATGACGCCGTTGATGTCCATCAGTGTGGCGAAACTGGTGAGATGGTTACACAGACACTCCACCGATTCGTTTGTAATTCTTCCCAGAGAGCAGCCGTCGTCAGCCCACTGGTGAAATGAGACGAATGTTTTCGGTTATATTAGTCAAACACATTCTATCTATGAAGGTCAGACAAAGTAAAAAAAAAAAAATGATTAAGCTTCAGGTCGTTGCAATACCAGCGACAGTTCAGTATTGTATCCCAATAAGGAAGTTTTAAGCTTACAAATACGTAACCAATGATAGGTAAACCAGCGCCATTATTGATTCCGTCCAGCCCACAACATTTGCTTATTTTTAGCGAGCTGGAAGACCAACGTTTCCGACCCACCTGTTCTGTTTTCTCGTTCCAGTAGGCGCACAGGTAGTTTGAGACGTTGAAGCTGGCGGCCGAGAGGCGAGTTTTGAAGGTGAGCGTGATGTTGGAGTTTTCAAAGGTGACGGAGGTGTTGCCGACGCTGGCGCTGACCACTGGGGAGTTGACGAACCGTTCGTACTGCAGGTCGGTCCGTTGACGCAACTCATCAGGGGTGCTGCAAGAAAAAAAAAAACTCAGCTCACAAAAATGGCAACATTTAGATACTCGTGTGTGTTTTGTAGGACCTGCTGGATTGGACGCCTTCTGTACTAGTCTTGTCATGGTGATTGGCGTTTTGTTTCAACAGTATGCCATTCAGTTACTTTGCTACACCCGAGAGACTACACAGCATAGTAAACCGGTCGTAGATGTAAGTCGCCGATAATGATGGGCTGCCTATAAACATGCTCGTAAAATTTTCTGCTAGATGACACTGATATGAACATTAAGAACATAGTAAAAGGCCGAAACAGTTCCCTTGAGGCCTTTGATCATCGTAAAACAACACAGCAGCTTGTGCTACTAAACGGTTGCTATGTAAAAACTAGTATTTAGTGCTAAAAGCACATATTTTAAAATGTCTCCTAGAATATTTCAGAGCGGGTTCGGGTTTCGTGTAAAACACCGAAAGTTTTGTGAGTTTAGATATACATTTGACGTGTTATTGTTATCATGTATGTATCCTTTCTAGAGTGTGTTATGACATTTTCAAATACGTTCCGCGTACATATCACGAGACGGAATCATTCTAAACCGATATCAAAATACATAGATATTTACAATAATTAGGTAAATGGAGAGCCGGAGCAAAAGGTGACCACAAACATCGATGATCGATCGCTATCAGCTTAGAGCTATAATAGATATATTTTCTAACCTGCACTTCTCTGCGCCAAGCAGGCAGTCCAGGTTGCCGTACTCGACGAAGACGATGGTGGTGCTGCCGCTATCGTTGAACCTACCGACCTCGTCCGGCAGCGTCACAGTGGACCCCTGCTGTGTGCGGTACTCGAGGTTACCCTTCAGCGAGCTGTACCGACCCGTGCGAAGACCTGTCAGACAGAGCAGTTGGTCACGTCGACTCCCGTTACATACCTACCTACAAGGACTGATAAACATATTTTTGCTTACATAGGGGATTGTGATTGATTGACTGATTTGAATACTATTCCATTGATCTCTGTTACTATCACGTATCGTGCATTTGATAAATATGACAGGTGTTTTTACATTACGTAGCATCCCACCACGACATTTTATAACGCGCAATGCCAAAAGGAGTGCAATATTTCATGGTAAAGCGGAACAGCAGGACTTAACGGCTAACGCATCTACTTCAGCTTCATCGGACATTCTACCACATCACCCACCCATCAACCAGATCTGCGGCAGGCACTCACGGATGGTGCTCTCGCTGAAGTCCTCGTGCTGATTGTCCAGGTAGGATGCCAGCAGGTAGGCCGACTGTTCCACGTTTCGCTGCAGGACCGTGGACGTATCGAAGCGCTCAGTCTCGGACATGCCGTGCCAAGACGTCTCGCCGCTCGTCAGGCCGCCGACAAGACTGGTTATGCTACCCAGATACCTGCCAAGTTCGATGTGAATTGTGATGAACGGTCACGCTTCCTGGCGTGTCGGGATAAACGGGCTGTTTAGAGCTGTGCGGTACAGTATAACTATCAGGCGCTAGACGTGGCTGCCATCTAGTGAGAGGAATATGAAACAGCAACAGAGCACACAACGTCTCGCTCACATTTCGCACTTGTGTAGCTTTTAGCAATCTCAGAACATCTTTTTAACTGTGAATAGTCGAGTCGCCACATCAAAGAAATTCAGAATTAGAATTATTAGCGCCATATCTATATCGATATTAGCTATAAATATGATGATAAATATAACCAAGAACTCACTGTTTAGCGACAGTCTGCTGGTCGGCCTGTCCGCTGAGCTGGGCCTGCTGAGCGGACACCATCTGTGGCAGCAGCTGCACAGAGTTGATGACGTCACCCGACGTCAGCGGCTTGTTCTGTGACGTCTGCCTGGTGACATTGGTTGCCAGGTCGGAGACGATGTCCGAGACAGGCTCTGTGCCCTTGTCCAGACGCTTTTTGGCATCGTCGGTGTTGATGTTGTCCGAGCGGCAGCCACTGTGGAATCAGTAAGACAAGGGCATGTCATGGACCAGCAAGTGAACATTATACATAAGTTGCTTTTTAAGATAGATGAGTGACAATTGTTTAAGCGTTTCTAGCGTCAAGTAAGCTACTTTAGTCTTGAATTGTTTATGTATACGTGCAGCTGCAGGATCACATAAAAACAAAATTTTAGGTTATTGCTCTTGCCTCGGCTTCCGTGTTTCCAATACGGAATACCTTCCCTTATCTACCTACCACAGGCGCAATGTCAGAAGCGTATACTCACGAGAGGTCGGGGTACTGCGAGCTCCACTGTCCGTCCACGCCGCACATGTAGCTGGCAGAGCCCGTGTAGCCCGCGCCGCACGGCTGGGTCACATTCTTCCCACCCGGAGTCTCGGGAAACGTCAGGCCGTAGTCGTCAAACCGTACCGGGGGACACTGGGGAGCCGGCTGGCCCGGCCACGGCGGCAGGGCACACACCGTGTACAGCTGCTGTTCCTTGCCGACGCCGCACGTCTTTTCCGAGCCGGTTTTCAGGGAGAGACACGGATACGGCTCGCTGGGCATGTGATTCATGTCCACCACCGGTCTCGGTTCCTCGGCACTGCCCATCCGCCAGATATCCTCATCACTGGAGAGGCCTGCGTCGGCAGCCAGCTTTTTGAGTAGGCTCAAATACCCCGGGTAGTCGGCGCTGTCGAGACTGTAGATTATGTCACCACCCATATCTCGGCACGTCGTTACCTGGTGTTCAAAGTCGCCTTCTGAGCCGGTGACGCCGTAGCAGGTGCGCGTGTCCCTGTCGTAGGTGCCCCCGTAGCGACAGAAGCTGACGTCGCTAGTCTGGCTGTCGTCACGATAGCGAAGGTAGAGCCGCATCGATACGTCTAATCCGCCGTCCACGTCAAAGTGACAGGCATCCGTGAAGTAGGCAGACAGCAAGTCGATGCTGGGAGTGCATTCTTTCTTTCCCTGACACCTGTGTCAGAAGACACAAACAGACAATTAACGGTCTGCAATTCGTGGTTCATAAAATCTGGACGTTGCATAACGATTGTTGATTATGAGTAGGGTATGACATAGGTACATATGATTGATATACATCGCCTGGAAAAATAAGGAACATGAGCAAAGCATGCATTGAACATTTTAATTCACTTCCATTTTTTTATCTGTCGGTCGGCGAGGAAGTGACTGAACGTGAGGAGCTGAAGGCTAAGAGCCCGAGCGGCGAGTACCTAGCATTTCAAGTCATCATTTCTTAAAGCGCCTGTTCATTTATAATGGACCTGAAAGCTTGCAACTGACACGCTCTACGAACTTCAACCAGCTCAGGTTCGGGACAAAGTTCTCACCAGTAGCGTAGGATAGCTTCGCTAGAAGGCACGACACAGCCGTCGGAGTCAGCCGGAAGGGGCACGTCCGGGCTGGGACAGTTCACCGGCGGGCGACTCGTCTCCCATGGGAAGCGACCCATGGCACCAAAGTCCACTATGATTGCTTTTCCAGATGCGCCACCGATTCTCGTGTCCTGGCAGTACTCGAACTCATGTCCGTCGTTCTCTGCAATTAAAAACGAACATGTGTAATGTGAAATTGTTTATCACCCATGTTCAACCATTTTCCACCTAGATAAGCATAACCCGCACTATGGTGGGGTGGGGCTATTTTTTGCCCCCCCCCCCCCTCAAGACTTTTTGATATATCTCCAGAACCATTGCGCCGATCGTCACCAAATGTTCAATACCTTCCCGGGCATCAATTTTACACATTGTGACCCAAAAAATTCTAACGGCTATGATGGGTTGGCCGCAAATGACGTCAGAGTGACGTCATGTTCTGACGTTTTCGACAAAAAAAGGTTTCGCGGGAAGAGCTGCCAGGCCTATAGCTTTGAAGATGTAGAAAAACGTCTAAGACATAAGAGGTGTAGAATTACCAGGGCTGCTATCTCCAAATTTAGCAATTTTTTAATTTTGACCCCTAAAAAATGAATATAATAGCCAAAAAATCCAAAAAGTTTTTCGGTTAAAAAACCGGAATATATGTGATAGCCTCCACCGCCTTTTATTCACATACCAAATTTTAGATCGATACCTCTTTTTTGGTCAAATTATAGCGAAAAAACTGTTCAAAATTGATGACGACATATTTTCAAACTCGACCACGTAGCGCAAAACAACCACGTAGCGCAAAAAAAGACCATCATTAGACTCGCCGTGACGAGCTGCATCGAATCAATGATTCAATAGGTACCCATTTTATGCAAAAAATATCAACTTTGAAATTTGGCCTTTTTTGACCTGACAATGACCTCACCCCCACCAGGAAGTGACCCAAACCGTTCCTGATAGTCTTATAACCAACACCATTGAGTTGGGAGTGAAAAATTGGCCATAAAACATGCATCGTACAGCCCTAGTAAAATTTGGTTCATATGCTAATTGCTGACCCTTGGTGACCTGACCTGTGACCTGACCTGGTATTATCAGTGAACTCTAATAGCAACATATGTGCTAGGCAACTGATGCCCTATCGCTTATTTTCGATAAAATGCGTTTTACACGATGTTATAGCGCATTCCATATAAGACCCGTGAACGGCAAAACATTATATCTTTGACCTAACCTGTGACATCATCGGTGACCCCGGGGTCAATGAAATTGAATTTCAATCGACAAATTTGACGGGGCCTTTGAACGACGTTTGAATTTTGCGGATCCGTCCAGTAGTTTCGGAGATACGAGGGGCGCAAAAAATAGCGCCCCCCCCCCCCCACCAGGTCACGTTATAAACAGACCCCACCAGGGCGCAGGATAACGACTGTATGCAAGAAACGCAGAACACTCCCCGTCATGCCGCAATTAAAAAATTGGACCTCTTCTAAGTAATGGGAAATTTTGAGTACAAACTAGTGGAAATCTGATATCAGTATCACCAATAATAGTTCGACGAAATATGTATAGCTCGTCGAATTTCCTACAGTGGATCGCTGTTCCTTGTCAGCAGGAAACAGAAGCTTGGTCTTAAGTACCAGTAAGTAATAATTTGGGCAGTAATCGCCACGCCATGTGTGGATCGCCCATGATCGTAAATACAATACAATACAATACAATACCAGAGTTTCACAAGGTCAACCGACCACTGACGACTCACCAAGGGCCTTCACGCAGTCGTCGCCTCCGTATCCCTCCTCACAGTGGCAGGTCTCCTCCTCTGGCAAGCTCATAGGACTCGGTGCGCTGGACGGAGGGCTCCGTGGACTCCTCCTCGGCCGGTGGGGTGCCGTGCTCAGCGGCTGCCGCTCGCACAGACCACGGTGCGGCTCCTCGCAGTGTCTCAGCGCCAGCTGACCGGTGGCGGCCGTGGCGGCCGTGCACAGACGGCGCCCGATCAGCGTGCGGCGCTGGCGGCGCCGCCCCACCTGGCCCACGGTACCGTCCACCCAGGCGTACAGACCGCGCGGCGGCGGCGGTGGCCACACCAGTCGCGTCAGCAGCAGCGACTCCTCGTCACCAACATCGGCGAGTCGCCCACCGAGGCTGCGACACAGCCGGCGGCTGTCCTCGGCGCCCTGCCGGCTGTCGCTCAGGTACAGACAGAGGCCGCGAATCAGCAGGAACGGCGGCGGACACAGCGTCAGAGGCGCCTCCTGCTCGGGCTGGTACACGCCCACCGTGTACTGTAGCTCGGACGGAGTGGACGGGGGAGGGGATGGTTTGGGACCTGCCCGAGACGGATGGGAGGCAGGGGCAGTCCTGGAGCTGGCGCCGGGAGTGGGCGGGCTGGCGGTGATGGCGGCGGCGGAGATGGCGGCGGCGGCAGCGGCTGAGGTGACACGAGTGGTAGAAGCGATGGTGGTCGTGGTAGTGGCTGCTCCTGTTGGACTGTTTGCTGTGATTGAGCTGGTTGATAAATACTTTGTCTTTGTCGAGCTGGTATGGGCTGGCCGAGATGATGTGGATGATGCCTCCTCCGCCGCCTTGGGACGGTACCCTTCTCCGATCGACCTCACGGTGGTAGTGGCGCCACCAGTCGTTGAGAGTTTGGGAGAGGCGGCGCTGCCTTCGCCGACGGAGTTTGGCCGGCTGACGGAGCCCCGTAGTCCGTCGCTCAAATACACAGCATTAGTGATGGATGATAGCATTTCGTAGCAGATTCCCCCATTCTGACAAGGGTTGGTACCGCAGATTTCTGGACTGAAGTCGCCAACCACACCTGCAAAGAACGATGTCATACGATGTCAAAATCGGAAAATAAAAAATCCCTAACGGCTAAAGCTACTTATTTATGCGGGCAGTACGAGTGTCGAGTATGAAGGGCATTTTCCAGGGCACATTGTAAACTGACTGCAAACAAATGGCATTGTAGTTTGTTGCGTTGCGAGGGTACTTCCAGAATGAAAAAGTTAGAAATGGGTGTCACAAAATGAGCTTCTAATAGCTGCCAACTGCAGGCGGCATGGGACGAGGACCGTAGGCATCCCCAGATACTTTGGGTTCAAGCCAAAGTTACCTTCATATAAACAAGGGTGGAATATAAATGAACTCGGCTACTTTACTGGAGTTTAAAACCAATCTGCCAGTAAGCCTGGTCGACCTTTACTCGGCGGGGAGGACAAGAGAAGAGCTTGTCGAGATGTGCCGATACCGACGAGATCCGTTTTAACATTAAAGGATGACAGACGTATACGAAAATTATATTATACCTATTGCTATTGGTGCCGGTGCCTCTTAACCCGCGCACCGACGGGGGGGGCGGATATCCGCCCCCCCCCCTGAGGTTTTTCGCGGATATCGGGAAATCCGCGGCGCCGTAGCGCCGCTAAATTTGGTACGACTATTCTCTCATCAATTTTACACATGGTGTGCAAGTTTGAACCTCCTAACTTTTAAGGTCAGGTCACCAGGTCACTTTGAATGACCCAACCTCAAGTCACTTTTTTCAACTTTGTCACCGTGCCAGAGCTACAGTAGATGTCGGAGGCCTTTGAAAGTCGCAGGATGTTATTAGGTCATTAGTAGCTACACTTTGTATATCTCGGAATTTTGATGTCGGTGACCTAAGGTCAGGTCAATTTCGCAACCTCCCCATTATAAGTCAATGGGGGAAAAATCAACTCCCTGTTTTTACCACTAAAACGGGTCGGAATGGTCCCATATACCATACATGACTTCATATACGATCAACCTTCACTACCTTGAGGTCTGTTTTGCTGTTGGGCAGCTGTAAGGTCATGTGACGTCATCAAAGGTCACGCAAGGTTTTTTGTCAATAACTCCGTACAGGAACAAGATACAGCCGCGCGGATGGTCTCATTGTGTTCAGCTCGTCAAGACGCATCGAATGATATACATGATGACCTCGAGGTCACGTGACCTGAGGTCAACCTTTGACCTTGACCTTTCGAGGTCAACATATATATCATTCGATGCGGATTGACGAGAGGATCACGATGGTGCCCTTAGTTTGTTCCTATCTTGACTAATTCGAAAGGTATTCGAGAAAAACTCTCTCCATATCTAGCGCCGCCATTTTGACTTTTTCGACCCATGTGACGTCATCTTTGACCTGACCTGAAAATGACCTTTGTAAAAATTGTAGACCTTGTCCGTGCGTATCCGATGCCGTTTACCGCTTGTCGCTATCTTGCTTCGTTCTTGAGATCTCAGGGGGGGGCGGTCATCCGCCCCTCCCCCGTCGGTGCGAAGTTGGCGCAGACCCCCGTCGGTGGGCGGGTTAACACTTTCGATTGATAGAAGAGCTGATGGGCCTTACTGCAACCCCACCGTTTTCCCGTTGCACTAAATATTGATGTCTTTACGCCCAATCGATGCCGATCTAGCATATGGGCAAGTTGGTTTGAGTTCAGTTCCCCAATCCTATGAAATGAACATGATTTGACATCACTGTATCAGTATGGTCCCGATCGTCCGTCACGACTACGAGCATTGAACACTGCACTCCACCGCCGCAGCACTATCAGTGCGCGCTCATCTCTCCTGAGCTATACACACGTATATCGGACGGTGGTCCAATATTGACCGTCTGCCCGTATCGAGGCCTATGGGAAACTGATGACGTCATGAGGCGTCACCAGTTCAAGGTCTCGCCAAAGTGCCATCCACCAGTCGGGCCTAACCTGCGATTGAAGTTACATTCCAATGCTAAACAATCCCTGTATGGTCCATTTCTTTCGATGCCTTGTCATATTCGTAATGCTCGAGAGCTGTTCGTGAAAGGGGACGATGATTCGCGTGCCCCCACCGTCTTCCTGCGGCCGCTATTGAGTGTCTGCAGCCAATTGCTCCCCGGTTTGAGGGTGTCGGAAGTAGACATCTGCCCACGTTGGCCCTTGCCAGGTGACGGCCAACGGACGCAGTTGGCAGGGGTAGGACCGGCGGAAGAAGCGGGGTAGCACCACCGAACGTCGGAATTGGCCAGGGAACGGTGATCGTCTTAATGATGATGACTGTAAAATGAATGGGCAAATATACATACCAATAAAGAAACGCTGAAAGTACTATTCATGCTTCAGCGAAGCTGTTCATCGGCATTTGGTAAAAATACCATTAGAGCATTGTTTTAGATACTTCAGTCTACCGGACAGGGTAGACTGTCCGGGGTAGACAGGGTAGACTGACTAGGGTAGACAGGGTAGACTGACTAGGGTAGACTGACTGTGTGTGGCTGGCTCTGGCTCTGCCCCATGTGGCAGACGGGCGCCTTCACCTTGCGCCGATTTACTCTCTAAACAGCGACCGATGTGTGTACCGCGGCGGTCCCGTGTGGACCGCGGCGCCATCCTATCGCCCGCGTGGGACGCTGTTTACACAGAGGAAACACAGGCGTCAGACACATCATTTGGCGTGATTTACTAGCTCGTTTGTAGCACGATATGTGTACGAGCTAATGCACAAGTTAGAGAAAAACGGGACAATGTGTTAACGAGCTAATACAATAACACATATGCTGATGATAGTCGACAAACCTTTAATCAATCACACGATTGTCGACTATTTTGGGTTTAGCTTTCATTTTGTAACAACTATTTCTTTAGTTGTTGATATCGGTTTGCCATTTACTGCTTAGAGCACAAATAATGCTAGACGACTTCTGAATATACTTCCCTGAAATTTTATTATCTCTTTATCATACATTTGTTTTATGAATCGCGATCCGTCTATCCCAAAGTGTTTCCTAAGAGTAGGTCTCTGTTCCTGATTCCCACCGCCGAGATCCCCCCCCCCCCCATTTGTTGCGCATCCCCACATAGCAGTGATTTTATCGTCCGTGCCGACTCTCCGAACTGTTGAGCGCATCGGCCGTACCACGACTGGTGGCAGCCAGCCAGCGCTGTGTGAAGAAATCGAATAACGACATTGACATAGTCACGGGCAGTAGCAATAGACGACGCACGAGTAAAGATGATGCCTCTGATCTAAACAGTAAAATGACATTTTCGCAAAAAAAGACTTGTTACCTTTGCCTGAACTTTTAGCTATGTTACAGATGGCTGGAACTCATGCGTCATAAAAAATCGATAAATTTATTTACACGGCTGTGCATGCTTATGTGCCCCAATTGATCATATACACAGACTTTTTAATATTATCGCCATTTTTCTGCGAAAATGATGCACAACATTCCTTCCCATAAATCAATTTAGACTACTACAGCACCTAAACAAGCTATTTATCCACCAATCATCAGTTCACGTATGTGATTGCTTTTACCGCTGTGACGTCATCTAACACCTATCGGCGGTGCTATCGCCGGCTCAGTGCCGCGTTCCTGTTCGGCAAATAAATGGAGCGACCGGGAACGAGCCCTGCCGGGTCACGGACTAAAACGGAAGTCGCCCACACTAGGCTCCCACCTCCCAGGAATCACTCACATTCTGGGTGTTTTAGAAGTCCACTTTGCCTATATATTTAGCAGTAGCACGACTGTGTCCAGAAGACGTCGCCTTGAAAACCTGCTTATAGCTATTGTATCTCCTCACATAAATAAAACTGGTGTTTTGACCTACCGTAAAGTGGGGCTATTTGAGACAGTGGGGCTATTTGAGACAGTATTTAAAATCGCTATAAAATGAAGATCGTTTGAATCTTTTGTGATGTTTTTCTTCAGGGAGGTGTGGAATCGAGCAGTTAATTGCCTGACCAAAAATTAAGCATGAATTTCAAATGGTTTTTACTTTATAGCAATTTTAAATACTGTCTCAAATAGCCCCACTGTCTCAAATAGCCCCACTTTACGGTATTTCATAAGCGTGCACTAACCACAAAGCGCCATGCAGCAGTGAGGTTGGCGCCTGCAGAACCCATTCTCAGTGCCGACAGCTGCGGTGGCAGCTGTAATAAACAGAGACTCGGCACGGTACCGTGCGTGCTGACCGACCTGGGACCAGTGCCGCATGGTCTCGTCCTAGCCATAGCGCTGGCGCGGCGGTGGCCGTTCTAACAACTTGTCTTATGAGGATTATCAATAGACAGGTGTGACATATTATAGTGCATGTATGGCCTAAACTTTTTAATTTATTTTAAAAGGGGAAAAAACGCAAGAAATTACCCAACGTTTCGCATTTATTGCTTATTCATGGGTCTTCGAGTGCGATTGTGCGATCACAATCGCACTCGAAGACCCATGAATAAGCAATAAATGCGAAACGTTGGGTAATTTCTTGCGTTTTTTCCCCTTTTAAAATAAATTAAAAAGTTTAGGCCATACATGCACTATAATATGTCAAACTTGTCTTATACCTGCTGATAGGCTATTTTGGCAGACAGGATGATTTTATTCTATCAAAGTGAGAGCCATTCAGACAAGATCAGGTGCCTGAAGACCCATGCGAAGGTGCTTACAAAGATTATCGAAAATCAAAGTTATTCCCGGCAACTTGTGCAGCTAACAAGTGTTGGAGCCCCATAAGCATAGTTGTAAACTTACCGTTGATAAAAAGTTTACGCGAATCGTGTCCAGACTCCAATCCAGACTTCACACTCTCATAAGTTTGACGTTTTTCTCCAAACGAAGTACCACTGAACTTATCAAATCCCACCCAGCTTTCAAGTCCTTCGGTAATAGGTGTGCTCAGTGCGACATCCATCATGCCTGCATTTATGGCAACGAGGAAAACGGATTTCCGCATCGACGAAATGCAAAAACGCAAACAGTTCATATGGTTTTGATTTCAGTTGACGTGAGCTTCTATC